GGGATTCCGATGATTCCCCGAAGGAGCCCCACGCGTTGCCGATGGAATCTTATGGAGCCCCCAAGGCACATGATAGATTCCCATATGAATCCCAATGATCATTTGGAACCCATGGATGTCATAAGGAATTTCCAAATAATCAATCGATCTCCTTGGGATTCCGATGGGTGTCGCAAGGCATCTTAAGGATGTTCATCGGATTCTTTTGGGTTGCCTGAAGAACCCCATGGACGCCCCCAGGAATCCAATGGATGTCCTGAGGGTTCCCATGGATATCAGAAGAAGAAACCTATGGATTGCCGTGGGATTCCGATGTGGATTTCCCACGGAACCCAATGGAAATTTCAAGGAGTCCAATGCAGGTCTTTTGGATTCCTATGGTTGTCCTACGGGGCCCCATCGATATCCATGGGTTTCTATTGATGTCTTGAAGATCCCCATCGAGTGCCTGAGGATCCCCAAGAGCATATTCGGGAATCCATTGGGTTACAAGCGGGCGTCTATGTATGTCCCGCGGAATCCCATGCATGTCAAATGGGATCCCATGGATATCTTAAGGGGTCTTGCGGCTGTTCATCGGATTCCCATGGAAAGGACCCCCGTGGAGCTCTCAATATGCCCATGGACGTGTGGGGCCATCTTGGCCATCACCATCGCCATCATCTTCGTCGCTGGGATCTCCGGGAAAAGGCTTATCATCCCGCCTGGGCCCCGATTTTATTACCCCAGCGAGTCATCATCGCGAGCAGTTGTTCTCCTTTCTGCGCGCTTCGCGTGCCGAAGTGCAAGCGCTTCAGACCGCGCTCCGCGCGCCGAAGTGTAAACGCAGTAATCCGTTCGGCGCGCTTCGCGCGCCGACGTGCAATCAGTGCGAATTGCAGCGCGCTTCGCGCGCCAAATTGTAAACGCCGTACAATCCGTTCAGTTCGCTTCGCGCGCTGAAGCGCGCGCGCCGTCAACCACCCGGCGCGCCCCCCGCGCAGCAGCGCGCCCGTTGCGAGCCATTCGGCGCGCTGCGCGGGCGGAAGCGCGCGCGCTGCAATCCGGTCGGCGCGCTTCGCGCGCCGAAGCGTAAACGCGGTCAACTTTTGGGCGCGCTTCGCCCGCGATGGCCCCCGGGGCACGGGGGCGAAGGGGGCGAACCCCGCGGGCGTGCCGCCGCCGTCGCAGTAGGAGGGGGCCCGGGGCGAACCGCGGCTTTGAGCACTATAGGGGCGAACCATCTCGCGGGGGCGAACATAGAAGACCTTGGGGTCTTTGGGGCAGGGCCACCAGGTAGGGCGCGGACCCTTGGCGCTTGGGGCTTGCCGCAGGCCTAGGGCCTAGGTCCAGGCCCTGACCCGCTGGGCCGCGGGCTTGGGGCCTAGGCATGGGACCTAGGACCTAGGAGCGATCCGAAAATATGGAAGCGAATCCTGCGGGAGCAAACCCTACGTGGACTAACCCTCCTGCGGCAAACCCGCCAGGGGCGAACCCTCGGCATTGTGCGCACTTGTTGGAGCGAGCCCTATAGAGGCGAACGCTCTGGGGGCAAGCCCTGCGGGGCCGAAGCTTCAGGGGCGAACCCTACGGATGCGAACCCTATGCCATATGCCAGCGAAGCCTATGGCTTATGGGGTTCGCCCAATGGCATATGGCAGGCCCTAGGGAGGGCGCGTGGTGGCGGGGGGGGCAGCCCTATGGTGGCGAACCCTACGGTGGCGAACCCTCCGGGGGGCGACCCCTCCACTGGGGCGAACTTTATGGGAGCGAGCCCGATGCAGGCGAATATGGGGGCGTGCCCTGTGGGGGCGAGCCCCTGGGTGGGGAACCGCGTGGCGGCGAACCCTATGCGAGCGAACCCTCTGGGGGCGAACCCGAAGCTACGGGGGGGGGCCCTGCGGGGGCGAACCCTGCGAGGGCGAACCTATGAGGCGAACCCGAAGCTATGGGGGCGAGTCCTATGGGTGAGCTATGAGGCGAGCCCCAGGGCGGCCCCAGGGCGGCCCCAGGCGGCGCGGCACCAGGCGGCACGGCACCAGGCGGCGCGGCCCCGCGGCACCGGCTTCGGCGCGAGGCCCTACCGCGTGGATCCGAAGCACCCGCAGGTCCGCCACAGGTCCCGCAGGTGTCGCAGGTCCCATGTGGTCCCACTGGCATCGCAGGGCCCACTGGTGCCGCAGGTCCCGCACGCCCATAGGCCCCGCAGGTCCTGCGTGCCCCGCAGGGCCCCACGGGGCCTGGAGATCTTGCAGGTCTCACAGTTCCAACAGGATCCACGGGCCCCACTGGTCCGACAGGCGCCACCAGCCCCACGGGCCCAACTGGCGTCGCAGATCCCACTTGCCCCCGCAGGGCCCGCAGGGCCGACGGGGCGCGCGCGCTTCGGGCGCCGACGTGCATGCATTGTAAAATGCATCGCGTGCTTCGCGCGCCGAAGTGTAAGCGCCGTGAACCGTTCGACGCGCCTCGCGCGCCGACGTGTAAACGCTGCAAACCGTTCAGCGCGCTTCGCGCGCCGAAGTTGTGCGCGCTGTGAACCGTTCAGCGCGCTTTGTGCGCCGAAGTGTAAACGCCGCGAACCGTTCGGCGAGCTCCGCTGGCCGAGTTGCGCGCGCTGCCGGCCGCTGCCGTTCAGCGCGCCCCGCGTGCCGAAGTGCAAACGCAGTTATCCGAGTGTAAACGCTGTAAACCGTTCGGCGCGCTTCGCGCGCCGAAGTGCATGCGCTGTAGAGCGTTCAGCGCGCCTGGCGCGCCCAGGTGCCCACGCTGTCATCCAGCGCACATCGCGCGCGAAATCGGGCGCGGCGCAGAACTATTCGGCGCGCTTCGCGCGCGGTGTATGCGGTGTAAATAGTTCAGCGCGCTTCGCGTGCCGAAGTGCAACGCTGTGAACCGCTCGGCGCGCTCCGTGCGCCGAAGTGTAAACGCCGTAAACCGCTTGGCGCGCTTCGCGTGCCGAAATGCAAACGCTGTGAACCGCTCGGCGCGCCCCGCGCGCCGAAGTGTAAACGCAATAGACCGATCGGCGCGCTTCGCGCGCCGAAGTGTAAACGCTGCAAACCGTTCGGCACGCTTCGCGCGCCGAAATGTAAAACGCTGTAGACAGTTCAGCGCGCCTGGCGCGCCCAGGTGTCCACGCTGTCACCCGGCGCACCTCGCGCGCGAAATCGGGCGCGTTGCACAATTATTTCGGCGCGCTTCGCGCGCCGTGTGCGCGGTGTGCACAGTTCAGCGCGCTTCGCGCGCAGGCCGAACAGTGGCCCTCCCCCCCGGGCAGAGGGGCGAAGGGGGCGAACCCCATGGGCATGCTGCCATAGGAGGGGGCCTGGGGCGAACCACGCTTTCAGGCACTGGGGGCGAACCCACTACGGGGGGCGAGCGGCCAAGGCCTTTGGGCCTTCGTTTAGAGGGGTCTGGGTCTGCCTTGTTTGGGTCGGGCCACTGGGTATGTCTATTGCCGCAGGCGTAAGGCCCAGGGCCTAGGGCTTGGGGCTTGGGGCCGTAGGTTCAGGGCCTAGGGCCTCGGGCCAAGGAGCGAACCCAAACTATGGAGGCGAATCCGGTGGGGGCGACCCGGTGGGAACTCTTCTTCTCGCCATCGGATGTGATTTGTGCTCGCCTCGTCTTCCTCCTTCTCCTCGAAGCCTTTCTCCTTCTCCTTCAGCCTTCCCTCGCTTTTCTCTCTCCGGGGGACCGCGCTAAGTTCCAGCATGCTTCACGTGTTCGCGTTGGGCGAACTCTTCGATAATGACACATCAGCTGGCGCCGCCACGATTTCCGAACATCTTCCGGACATATTCAGTCACCATAGATTGACTTCGTTGAACGACCATGCCCCGAACATGTAACCGAACATATTTCGAACATCGTCGACAATCACGCCCCGAACACTTTCGAACATATTCAGGGAAGTCATGGTTCCCCACGTTTCCATCGAATCTGTATCTAAACGTATTGCCTTTGCCTTTGTTGTATTTGCCCTTGCCCTTCTGGTTGTTGCTGGTGGGAACGTGGTGGTCATTCCTCCCCTTGCCGTCCTGGTAGTTGCCCTCGCCGTGGAGGTTTTGGCTCCAGCATTTGTCCGGGTGGTTGTCGGCCCATTGGTCCATCCAGTTGTGGTTTCTCCAGCGGTCGAGCCCTGCACCGACGGCTGATGTAGCGGGTCTCGGTGTTGTAGCTCTGGGTCATGGGCGGTTCGATGTTGATCTCCACGGTGATGTCGCCGATCCCGATCCGTTCGCGGCTGCTCTGCATGATGTCGCCATGGTTGGAGCTTGATGTGGTTGCCGAGGTGGTTCTTGGGTGCTGTGGTGTTCATGTAGTGATCCTAATGCAGCGTGAAGTTGATGCTGCGTATGTTTATCAAGTAATCGACGTGCTGATGCCACTCGTAGAAGTAGACGTGCAGCGGCTCGACTTTCTCGCCCCCGGCGATGCCAAGCTGGATGGCCAAAGTCGCCGTGGTGGTATTTGTGGTGGAAGTCGAGAGGCCGGAGAATCACATATGGGAATTTGGGATGAGGAAGTCCCCGAAACGGAGTGTAATAAGTGAAGGGTAAGGGTTTTGGACATTTGATTGTAAGACTAAGAATTCGTGGCCGATGGGTCGGCACACTGCCACTGACACGCCTCAAGCGCTTGGCGGTTCGTGGTTTCTTATCCTCTTTCTTTTTCTCTTCTTCCGCTTTGTTCCTTCTCGTACTCGTCCTCCATCTCTTCTTCATCGTCCTCATGTTTGTCTTCCTACTCGTTGTCCTTCTTCTCCCCTCGCTGCCTTTCCCGTCATCCACGCTGCCATCCTCGACATCCGCCGCCTTGTTGTCGCCATCATCCATGTCTTCTCTTACTCCCCACGAGCCCAATGGACAAAATCGGCGTTTCTCGTTCTTGTCCGATCAGGTTCGTGTACGTGGCCGGGCGCTTGCGTCCTTCTTGGGCCCCTGAGCCAGGGAGAGAATCAGACGCAGTTGGGCGCAGGGCGCATGGCGCCGAGTTCGGCCCTGTGCCTCGCCCGCCAGGCAGTGGCCGTGCCGAAGCCGTCCGTGGATCTTCTGCCGGAGCAGGATGTGGCGTCGTTCTCCTCGTCCCTCCTCCTCCTCCTCCTCCTCCTCCTGCCTCTCTTCTCCTCCAATCCAAGCGATCGAGTCCCTGGGCCTTTTTCCGAAACAACTTTTCTGGCTCCTGTTCCCGTTGTTGGAAAAACCCAAGGGAGGCCTCCGCCCGATTTTGCTGTGTGCTGGCCCTGTCCGCGTCTGGGAGCGTTTGCGGAGACCTTTGATTTTGGATGTCAATACGAACTACCCTCAAAGCTACTGGGCGTTCGGCCCTGGTCGTAGTGCTGAGAATGCTGTTTGGCACCAGGCCGTTCAGGCCGAGATGGCCCATTACGAGTCTCATGAAACGGGGGGTATCATTTGGGACGGGACGAAGTACTACGAGTCTTTCGATTTGGCCCTCCTTAAGGACAGGGCGATACGTTATGGCATCAATGGGGTGATTGTTAAAACGGCGTTTAACTACTGGAGGGGCCCCCGTTTGCTCCGTTTGGGGGCCCAGTACGGGGCCCAGCCTTATTTCGCCCGTTCTGGTCTTCCCGCGGGAGATATCTTCAACGATATCATGGTTAGAGTTGACAGCATCGAAGCGTTTGACAAGTTTGTTGAAGATAACCCCAGCGTCGATGTGTCGTCGTACGTGGACGATGGTAGTGTCACAGCGTCGGGATCGGAACAAGAGGTCCTTGCCAATATCACGCAGGCCGCGGCATGCTTGCACGCCCTGTTTAGGGACGATTTGCGCGTCGGCATTCAGCCCGACAAGGTCAGCACCTCTGCCAGCAACCGCGCCTTCGCCCAGAAGATTGCTCGGCACCTAGGGCAGCTGGCTGGGATGGTCACGAACAGCGTGGTCTCTCTCGGCACGGATTTTGCACCAGGTCAGTCACGATGTACCAAACAGGGTCTCTGGAAAAGAAGACAAAGGTTCTCCGACATGAGGAAGAGACACACAGTTTTGATGAGATATCGTTCGGCCCTCCCCCGTCAAAAAGGGCGAATATGGAAAATCTACACTTGTGGAGTTCTACCTGCGGCCAGTTTTGGATCGGTGGTGGCGGGGATGAGTCAAGGCGAGCTCCAAGTGGCTCAACGGGTTCTTTTATCCCCGCACCCCCCTAGGCACCGTGGGTGTTCTCTCCAGGCGCGATTGGTTATCCTCGGGGACCCCATGTGGAGACCGTCTGTTGCGCCAGCCTTACAGCGGGCTTCGGTGGTTTGGCTTGCTCTCACTTCCCCGTCGATTTCTCTGTATAATGCCAAGGAAAGTGCCCAGCTTTGGCGTGCTGTTCCCTTTGGTGACAAGGTCACGTGACGATCATCACGAGGACCTCTTCAGCGCATGCACCTGTCTTTGGCTAGGATCGGGTGGCAGTCGGTGACCCCCCTCACGTTTGAAGACGACTACGGTCGTGAAGTGCATCTGGGCTACACCTCGCCAGCGATGTTGGCTCATATGTTGCAGTTGGCGGTCCAGCGCACGCACGAGCGAGTTCTATGCCAAGATACCCCTGGGGCAGACGGTGTTCGTTTTTGCGTCGATCCCCTCAAAACCCTGTTGGGCCCCAAGGGAAGAACACTCAACCCTCAGCAAAAGCACCTGGCTTTGAGCGTCTTCTGCAAAAGCGGTGTGGACCCGCGCGAGGGCGCAGGCCGCGGGATATGCGTGCGACGGGCGATGCCCTAAGTGCGGGATGCCCGATAGTGTTCGGCACCGCGCTTGGCAGCGCCTTCATCCTGAGGCCGTGGCGATTCGGAAAAGTGTCACGGATGAGGCTCCCGTCGAATGGCTGGACGAGGCTCTTGAAAGTCAGGACCGGTTGTTTTTCGATGAGTTAAAACGGGAGCACCCTGAGGCCTCCTATCCCCCCTCTTTCTTCGGCCACCCAACCCATCCTGTATTCGCCCGAAGGGGGCATCATCGATTGGGGGTCTGTGGACCTCTCTGGTTGCGATGTCGTCATGGACGGCTCGGCCTTTCGCCATACCGTCAGGGAGCTTTCCAAGGCGGCTCTCCTGGGCTTCTTGGGCGAAGGGGACACTATTATTGCGTATGCCAATGGCACGGTGCTTTCAGTTCTCCCGCAGACATCCCAAGCTGCGGAGCACCTGTGCGTGGCCTTGCTCCCGATGTTTCAGAGCAGCGGCGGCGAGCGCCACACCGATTGCATGAATGTGGTGCGCATCTGTGTGGCTTCGCGGGAATTCCAGGTATTCCATAAACATCGTTTTGCTGGCCTTCGGAGAGGTGCCCTTTTGCATGAAGAGTCCCCTACCCCGTCGGTGTACCACACTCCTGCGCACCGCTTTCGCCCTGTTTTGGACGCCTTGCCAGCACACGAGAGACGGATCGGCACAGGCAACTTGAAAGCCGACGCCCTGGCCAAGCAAGCTCTCCTCCTCCATCCTCAACCCAGTGTGCATGAAACAACGGAGGTGGACAGGAAGTGTGATTTGCTCGCCTTTGCGGCGAAAGTGGCTGGCACCGTGCTAGCCACTTTTCCTTCCGAGAGGTTTGATCACCAGCCCACAGGACCGAGGGCTAAGTTTTTTAAGTCGAGAGGTTGGCATTCCTGGCAAGAGATCGGTCAGGGCGGTGCTAGATGTTTGCATTGCTTTTTGTTTTCCACGGACATGGAGGCGCGACCCATGTTGGGATGTAGAGGACCCAGCTGGCTGTGGCGCGGCGTCTTGGATCGGTCCCTGGGGCACTCCCTGGCGCATTGCATTGTAAGTAAAGGCGAGCAGAGGCTCATTTTCTTTTTCTGCACCACGTGCGGAGCGTATTCCTCCGCACCTTGCCACATGCTCGGCAAGGAGTGTATTCAGCGTAGACTGGCTGGAGGCGCCACAGCGCTGAGGCGAATTTTTTCTGGAGCTTATCCGCACTACCGTGAAACCGGCACGGTGTGTGAGTCTTCGAGGCGTGGAGTGGCGTTCTTCTACTACGCGTCTCAGCGGCCTCCGCCGCACGACGTCAGCCTGCCGCTCTCGCCGTCAGGGCTGATAGAGACGGCAGGGATGGCGGCGCTTCTGGCGCGCATTCAGGCCCGCGAGGCGCCGGCAGTGGCAAGGCCTGCTGCCGCGTCCGCGCGCGACGCAACGTGATTAGGTTTTGTCGGATGGCGTGTTGGGCTAGATCTGGGGTTTTACGGGACCGTCCTTTTCTTCCCGATCGCTGTCCGTCCACCGCCGAGCTGTACGTTTACGGCGTTCAGCGGCTGAGGACTGGTCGTCATCGGCCATCTGCGCCGATGTGTTGTTTAAACCGTTCAGGCCCCCAGGGGATCGCTAACAAAAAAAGAAGAAGACAACAAGCAGCAGTCAGAAGCTTTCGGAGGTCCGCGCGAATTTCTTGGATCGGCCCCTGGCCCCCATGGCGGTGCTTTCAGCGCCGCCCCCAGGAGGGTCCAGCGCCGATCGCCCCCAACAAAACATGTCACCTGCCGAAAGATCACGTAAAGTTTTACAGATGTTTATTATTCCATTCCTCGCTTTCCCCCTCCCTTTCTCTCTCCGTCTACCCTCCCTCCCATGCAGCAGAATGGTCAGCGATAGAAGTGGAGGCATCGCACTCCAAGGCCCTGCTGATAGTGACAGCTTGGCGTGAGGTCCTGTGGGGAGGACCCCTGCCCGTCGTAGCCGCCGCACACGCCTACCGAGACAGAGCAGCGAGAGACGTGGGCTGGCGCAGCAACCCTTGCGGCAGCTGCCCGGTCGAGAGCCGAGCACCGGTGCGTTTGCCCAGGTCCCAGCACGAGTGGCCCTCCTCCCTGTTTCAGTCGACTCGCGGTGCAGTGTGCCGAGCGGCCGCGCCCTCATGTGCGAGTCACCGATCGTGGAAGCCTTGCTCCAATCCCAAATCTCCCCTTTGCCTGGAACACCCCCCCGTCTCCGGCATGCCGAACGGGCGCAGCACGGGGCCCGAAAGTAAGTGGGCCTCGCACCACGACGGCGGCGGGCGCCCCGGCAACCGCCGGCCGCAGCAGGGCCTGACATTCCGAGACCAGTCTGGCAGAACACCACAGCGAGGCGCGCGGCTGGCGCCGCGGTGCGGGCTCGCAGTGAAGGAGGGCGGTTGGGCGTTCATCGCGATTCTGCTGGCGAGGTCTCCTCTTCTGGCGCGCCCTGCAGCCAGGATCCAGGTCCAGGGTGGCCTGGGGACGCCGCAACGTGCGCGCTGGCATTGCCTCCCTTTCCCTCCGCCCAGACACATCGGAGACGGGCGCCAGCACGGAAGCCGCCATGACTGTCAGAGGAGCAGTTCGCGCCCGAATGGGCCACGGAGGAGGAGGGGCGCACGCGGCATGTTAACGGTTTCTGGATGATCCTCTTCGTTTTTGATGTTGCGGCGGCTCCTCCGGTTTGGGCCCCCGGCTCGGGAGTAGAAGAGCGCCCTTGCGCGGGCCCCCAGGGCGCAGACCGGGTTGCCGGACGAGAACAGGGTCTGGTCTCGCCGGCACTTTCAACCTCCTGCCGCCGAGTCGCCCAGTCCCCAGGCCTCTTGCGTCGTGCTTTCTCAGTTCGTGGACCCTGGAGAAGGGGCTGGCGCGAGGGAGCGAGGCTTCTGAGAAGGCATGGGGAGTTTCTTTGGGGGAAGGGCTCGGAGGCCTCCGAGAAGGCTTCTCACAGGCTGGGAGTGCTTCCAAGGGCCCCCCCTTGCTTGGCCTTCTTGAAAGGCCGCCAACGTCCTGCACACCCTTTAAGGCCGGTGTCAACAGATGCGCAGTTGGTCAGTGGCACTGCGGTGAGTGTTCTTTAGCAGGGGTATTTCGGCCATGTTAGGGCTTCTTGCGGCGGGCATTGTTGCGATACCCGCGTCGGCAAGGGTTGTGTTCGCTGGGTCGCTGGCCAAAGTGCCCGTTGGTGGAGTCCCTGTCAGAGGGGGCGCTGAAACGGTGAAGGAACACGATTTTGGTTATCTGAAGATGTTTGGGGCCAGGGTCAACTCGGGCAGCACAAGGGGAGGGCATTTTTGACTGTTCTGTCCCTCCTGGAGGGCCCTCCTTTCTGCCCGCCGCAGCCCGCACCCCCCAATTGCGCCTCTGGCTCGCCACGCCCCGCTGGTGCCGAGGAGCGACTGGGCCGATCGAAAGAAAGAAAGAAAGACGTACGTGTCCATGGATGTCGCGTGTTTTGAGAGTATGTGTTGCGGGAACGTTCGTTCAGGGTCTACGGAAGGGGGGAATGGGTAAGGGGGGGACGCTTCGACCCCAAATCGCCCAATCATCGCCGATGAGGGCCTGATATCCCAACCCGCCCAGGAACGTGCGGATTCGCTATCCAGGCCCAATCGCCGATGTATCGGCGACGTGTCGCAGTTTCCAGGTCGACGTTTCCACCCCTGAGCCGGTTCCACCCCTGACGTTGCCCCTCCATAACACGAGTTTGGCCTCGCGGACTGGGGGGTGTACTCATGCACGTTGCTGGGCGTTGTCGTCTTTTGTGGGCTCCCGACCCGTGTCGTCCGCAGAAGGCGTCTGAACACCATCACCGTGCCTGGCCAGGGCCATCATCGACCCCAGAATTCGAAGAAAAAGAGAGGACGAAGCATCAGCTTTCGGAGGTCCGCGCGGCTGTCTTGAATGGGAGCGGGACCCGCCCCCTCCCTGGCGCGTGGAGCGCGCAGGGGCAGCGTTGGAGGTGCCGCCATGGAGTCCAGGGCCAATCCAAGAAATCCGCGCGGACCGTCGAAAGTTCATGGTTATGCAGTTTTTCGTCTCGATGGTTTGTCAGGCATGGTGGCGGTGTGTGATGCTTTCTGCGTGTGTCGGCGCGTGGCCAGGGAAGTTCCCCTCCCTCTCTTCCCTTCCCTTTCCCTCTCCCCTCCCTTCCTCCCTCCCCCCCTCCCCCTTGGGTCGTGGCCCTCCCGCACCGAGGAGTGGCTCGACCGTGTCGGCGCGGCCCCGGTGAAGCTCCACGTGGACGTGTCGGCGGACAGGGAGGCCCCAGCGCGGCCCCGCCAGGGGGGGTGACGCCCGGGGATCGGCGCGCGCGTTGCTCCCCGCCGACCTCCCAGGGGCCGATCCCGATTCGACCGATCCAGCTCCGAGGGACGGCCGTGGCTCGAAGAGGAACACAACGAGTAAGCATGAACTTTCGGAGGTCCCCAAAGGTGTCTTGGATTGGCGCTTGACCCCAGGTTCTGCGCCGATCCGAAAAATCCACGCGGAGCTCCGAAAGTTCATGCTCATGCAGCTGTTTCTTCTTGTATTGGTGTCCCAGACCCGCTTCCCTCAGGGCCCATTTCCCTTACGGAAGGGCGGTTTGTTATTGGATCGCTTTTGAAGCCCGCACGGCACATGCCTGAAGGTGGCGAGTTCGGGTTTCTCGGTCACCCGCGCGGGCGCGAAGATGATGGTATCTCGCATTTCGCGGTCCTCTTCCGGAGGGCGGCGCGAGGGGGCGAACATATTGCGCTTCGCGCGGCGAGAAGCTCGAAGTAGGTGACCTGGGGCACAGTTTGGCCACATCATGAGGATAAGTATTCTTCCAAGGATGACCGAGAACCTTTGCATCCTTGCCTCTCGGCTCATCCTGCCCATTTGACCTAGGACATGGGTTTCAAACTTCGGTTTCGACCTGGGCATCCAAGGGCCTTGCATCCTTCCTGCGCATCCTTATGATTCGGTCGCATTGTATAGAACCCTGGGGCGACGAGGAGCCTTTCTGAGCGCGGCGCGCTCCGCTTCCATCAGGCAGCGCTTGCCTAGAGCGTCATATCTCGTATTTGACCAACGCTGCGTCACAGCCTTGCTACGGCTGACCCTGGGCGGGCCATGGCGCACGTTGGACTTCGAAAGAAATTGACGAGTATCTAATAGTAAGAAGAGCACCAAGAGGAGGGCGGCCAGCCGATCAGCTCCGATGGCAAGGGCGGGGGCCCGAGTGCTCCACGAGACCGTCTTGCTGCGGCCCGGCCGCGTGCCCAGCTCGGCGTGGCGAACGTGAGCGTTGCCGTGCTGCTGACGCACAGCGTGGGCTCCGTGAAGGAGCGAGGCCACCGGAGCTTTCTGATGTGGCCCTGTCGTGGTGTTCACGAGACCGCGGCACGGCTTCGGGAGAGAGGAACGTCGGATGAGGGCCAGTTGAGACAATGGTTGCTCTCTCGCCCTGTTCCCTTCCACTCGAAATGAGCCTCCAGAACCCTTCCCAGGGTCCATCCTGACCCCTTGTTCGAGGCGGATCGGTTCGTGGCGGCGAGAAGCCTCCAGGAGAACCGAAAGGGACGAAACACGCCAGGGAGGGCCGCCATTGTATCGGCTGGCCCTCCTCCGAGAAAAGACAGACGAGCAGGGCTGCTGATTTGCAGGCTGGACTGGGTCGGTCGTGGTGGTCCGAAGATGATCACGGCTCTTTGCGTGCTTCCCCGGGACGCGGGCGCGAAGGCGCGGGGGTGAAATTCGCGGCGCGAGAGCGCGAGGTCGAGCAGCAGGCAGTCGGGATCGATTGCAGGGGACACTCTAGAGGACACAAGGTCTCCTCCGAGGCCACCCCGTTCTCCAGACATGAGTCGGGAGGGATAACGAGTATCAGTAACACGCGCGTCGTTATCAACTTCGCGTGTTGCTCATCCGCTTGTTGCACGGGGCCGCGGTGTTGCCTCCGCAGGAATGCGTTGATGGGGGAGTCCAGCCAGCGTGAAATGTACGTAGCATCCCGCGAATGCGGATAAGATTGAGGGGGCGGCGGGGACGTCGGCAGTTTGCGAGGATCGAACAAAAAACACTTCCTTTGCAGGCGCTTCGCTTCGCGTATCCCCACCAGCCCATCCACAAACGATGCCCAAGCGAGTTGCCTTGATCAGGGAAGCGGAGGAGGTTCAGTGGATCAAGAGTTGGGGAAGCCGTCAAATTGAAGTATCAGGCTGTGCAGATCTAGGAGGGAACCGTATGCATCTTCGCGGACCTGCCGAATGAAGAAAGGCGGGGAAGAAGAACGAGGGGGATTAGGGAGAGGAAGAGGAGGAGGGGGAAGAGGAGCAGGAGGAGGAGGAGGAGGAGCAGGAGGAGCAGGAGGAGGAGGATACAGCGGAGGAGGAGGAGGACGAGGAGGAGGAGGTGGTGGGGGACTGGGAGGAGGGAGGAGGGAGGGGGATACATAAGCGGATGAAGAGGAGGGGCAGGATGATAATGGCGAGTTTGGAGGTTTCTTTGGGCGCCTTGGGGGCCTCTTGGCGGTCCCTGGGGCCTCTTGCGTACCTCGGGGAGCCCCTTGGGGCCCCTTGGGGGTCTATTGGGAGCCTCTTGGAGGCCTCTTGGGCGCCTGTTGGGGCCCTCATTTGGGACGCTCTTGGAGCCACATTTGAGGACATCGATCACAGAAAGGAGGAGCTTCAATTAGCCTTTCCCCTCTAGAGTGCCTAGAATCGTCTCTTGGAACCATCTTGGAGCGCACTTGGGGCCGTCTTGGGGCTCGCTCAGGCCTCTCGTGGGGCAGGGGGAGGAGGAGGAGGCGGAGGAGGAGGAGGAGGAGGGGGGGAGGAGTAGGAGTAGGAGTAGGAGGAAGAGGAGAAGGAGGAGGAGGAGGAGGAGCAGGAGGAGGAGGACGAGGAATGACCCCTCAACCTCCTCATCCTCTTCCTCCCTGCTGTTCTCCCATGGCAACTAGTCCGCCGCCTCCCCCTCCCCACCATCCTCCCTCAACCCCCTCCCTACCCCACCGCCTTTCAGCAGATAGATGTGATGGTGTGAGCGGGCAGGAGTGATAGGAGAAGAGGGAAGAGAACGAGCAGGATGAGGAGGCAGAGAGGAGGATGAGGACGAGGAGAAGGATCGAGGGGATGCGTGACCCCTCGACCTCCTGCTGCTGCTCCTCTTCTTCCTCCTCCTCCTCGGCCTCACCCTCCTCCTCCTCCTCATGCCCCTCCTCCTCAGCATCGTCCTGTTTTTCCTTATCTTCCTCCTCCTCCTCTTCATCATCATCCCCCTCCTCCGAATACTGACAATGAGGACGCGACAAACCACGAACAATACTATTATTAATTCCAGTTTTATTAATTATGACAATGCTGAAACATATACAACACTACTAAAAATACCATCACTACCGCACTTGCAATCATACGAATGATACTGATGATATTACCCATACGATTACGATTAATGATTCGAATGACACGACTAATAATACGAGTGCTACGAATTATAGTAAGACGATCACGACTAGCAAGAATGGTGATGATGTCATTAACGGCCATGTTGCACCCCGCCTTGACCATGATTGACCTCTTCCTCATTATCCGGCCACTCCCTTTCATCGCTGTCCTTATCCTTATCTTCCCATGGAAGAGATATGACCCCAAGGAGGATTTATATACGGTTGATAGCGAGGAAGAGTGATGGAAGGGAAGTCAGGAGGAGGACACACGAGGAGGACACGAGGAGGAGGAGGACACACGAGGAGAATGAGGAGGAGGAGGAGGGGGAGAAGGGTAAGGGGAGGAGGATTAGTGACTCGATCTGCCTTCTCCTCCTGCTCCTTTTCTCATCTTCCTCCTTATCGTATCATATCTCGTCCTCCCCCCTCCTCCCCGTCCTCCTCCTCATCATCATCGCCGTCGTCGTCATCATCACCATGTCCATGATGCTGATGATGATGATGATGATGATGATGATGATGATGATGATGATGATGGTGATCACCATCATCATAAGCATCATCATCAGCACTAGGCGCATCATCACCAACATCATCATCATGATCAGGATCACCATGACCACGATTCTGATGATCATCATCATCATCATCGGCATCATCAGCACCATCATAACCAGCATCTTCATCACCATCAACATCAGCAACAACATCATCATCAACATCAGCATCACCAGCAGCATCCCTATCTCCCCCCAAATCTCAGCCGAAGCGGAGGAAGAGGCGGAGGAGAAGGAGGATGAGGAGGACGAGGAGGAGGAGGAGGAGGAGGAGGAGTATGAAGATGAGAAACATTTTGCGGAGGAGGAGGAGGAGGGGGAAGAGCAGGAGAAGGATGAGGAGGATAGGAAGGAAGTGTGGTAGGATAGCCCCCACAAGCATTCCAGTCGGCCCAAGGATCCCTTCCATGATGCCTACCAGAAGCTTCCAAAACTATCCCAAGGAGTAGGGAGTAGGAGCCGGAGTAGGGAGTAGGAGTGGGCAGTCGGGATAGGGAGAGAGTTGGGAGGGAAGGATGGAGGGAGGAAGGAATCGTTAGAGGAGGAGGAGGAGGAGGAGGAGGGAGTAGGCGAGGGAGGGAGGAGGGCAGAAGGGAATAGGTGGTGCTGGACCCCCGTTGATGCGGTACACGAAACATGTTGCAAAATGATTTGTTCAATTGTTTCCCATCCTTTGGCGCCGAAGCCTCGTCGATGCTGCGGGCGGTTCTGCGACATAGCGTTGGTCAACATTTAAAAACTTGGGAATTGCAGCGGATTCTTTCGGCCGCATCAACGAGGGCCCGCTGTGGCAATCAGAAATTGCATCAGATCTTTCAAATTGTTCCAATCCTTTGGCGACGAGTCCTCATCGATGTTGCACGTTGCAGTCCGTAGCCATTTGGGCTCAAGCAGCCTGCTCGCCCAGTCCCTGGTGCGAGCTAGCTACGGTCATGGCCGACGCGATGGCGGTGGCTCCTCTCGGTGTTGTTGTGCGCGCTGGCGGCTCTCGCCAGGTGGCGGCGGCCACGGCGGCGGCCCTCTGGCGAGCGGCCCAGGCTGGCGGCGGCAACCTGCAGGCCGAGGACAAGGAGGTGGATCACGATATCCAGGCGCGGGTCGACCTCGCCAAGCCCGTCCTGCGAGCGAAGGTGGAGGCGGCGGTCCGTGACGGGCCGATCGAGATCGACGGCGGGGCGACGGCGCTCCGGAACGTCGCGGGGCATGGGTTCTTCTTTGGGGAGGGCGCGGAGGCGCTGCCCCAACGCGGGAAGGAGGCCGCGCCCGCGGCGCGCAGGACGCCGCCATCGTCGGCATCAACGGTCATTGCGATAACAAGATCGAGCCCGCCTCTTCCGTCTTTCACGTTTCGGCTGCGCTGGCAAACCGGCGAGCGGTTGGCGTTGTGTTGCGCGGCTCTCACTGGCATCCAGCTGCGCTCTTTTTCCCGCCTCGCGCCTGCGTGGGCGAGCGCAAGTGGCAAGTGCCGGGGCGCCCTTTGGGGGGCTGAAAGGGCGCTCGCGCCGCCCGGCAGGCGCGCCCAGGCCGGCGCAGATAGCGGGCGGCCTCGCGGGGATAAAATCTGCGACGTTGCAGGTGTTTCGGCGCCAGAGGATAGGGGCACACCGAGCGCGGATGTTCCCGCATTTCCACGCTGCCGAGTCGTCGAGGACTCGCTGCGGCAAGCGGGAAATGCTTCGCAATCTGATTATTTAAGTTTGCCAACTCTTGGGCGTCGAACCCTCGTCGATGCCGCGGGCGGTTCGGCGCTTGGCAATGGGGGGCGCGCGAAGAAGTCGGCGTTGCAGCATTCCCCTTCGCCCGCTTCGACGAGGGTCCGTCGCGGCGAGCGGAACGCGCCGCGACGTCACTCTTCAAAGTGGCCCTGTTCTTTGGCGCCGAGCCCTCTTTTGATGTTGCGGGCGGTTCGGCGCCGGGGGGCGGAGCAATTGGCAATTTGGATGTCGCGGCAAATTCTCTCCGCCGCATCGCGGATGGCTCGCTTCGACAAGCGGCGAACGCAGTGACATCTGATTCAAGGTCGCCCCATTCTTCGGCGCCGAACCTTCGTCGATGACGCGGGGGGGCCGAGCCGCCGAATGAATGGCGAGATGGAAAGCAGCGTGACTTTGCACCATTACCCCACCGCCGCGTTAGGGGGGGTTCGGCGCCCGAGTTTTCTGGTGCAAAAAGATAGAACAATGCAGTTGCATCGCTGTCCCTCTGACGCATCGGCTTCCGGCCACCCCCCCTTCCCTCTCGCTGCCGCCCGCGCGCGCGTCTCGCATTGCGCGCTGCCCCGACGCGCCAGATGTCTGAGGCTCAGGCTTTGCCCGCCCAGTGTCAGCCAGGCCCGGGCGGCGCCCGCAGCGGCGGTCGCATCGCGTCGCGCGCCCCTTGCGCATAAGTGAGGGCTCGGCAACAGATACTTGGAATGCTTAGAAAATTGGTTTTGCAATGTTCCTCGCGAGTGGTGTCCTCGGCGGCTGCAGCCGGTACTGCAGAGGCGCCCGCCTCGCTTCTGCGCGCGAGCTCCAGCCTCCAGCGGCCGCCGGCGCAAACCATTCGAGCTTGCATTTTCCGGGGTGGGGCGCGAGATGACGACGGCGTTTTTTTTGGTGGGGCCCACGTGCGCGCGCATGCACTAGCGCATGCGCGCGCGTCTTCGGAGGTCCACGCCGAACGCCCGGGTCGGCGCCGAACTCCATGCGCAATAATTCTGTTCTTGTCATTTTACCACTATTCATATATATCCTTATAATTGTAGTTATTGCAGTTCTTACGCTCGTTCTTATCATTATTTGTTTCCCTTCGTCTTGTTATTATGATCATGCGTATTCGCATTATTTGCACTTTTCTTATTGCTATTGTTATTAGTATTGTTCTTATTGTTCGCAATTTACTCGCATTCTCACTGTGATTCCAAGTGCAAATGGGGCGCCACCCGAACCGGGGCGCGGACATTATTCATTTTCGTTCCATTTACGCGGCGCTATTTATATCGCTCGGCGACCCCCCCCCCCCCCCCCCCCCCAGAATTATGCAAATGCGGCGCGGCGCTAATCAGAACCCCGGGGCGCTCCCCAATGGCTTCGCGAGGTTACCGCGCGGGGGAAATCATCGAGGAGAACGTGAATGCGCAGCCGTTCAGTCGGGTTGCGAGAGATCCCTTCCTGATCTGTCAGCCGAATAGTTTTTCACCTATGAAAGCGACGCGCACATAGGGGGAAGTTGTGTTATTGTTTTTCTTTGGGCGATGCGCGAAAGAAAGGCGACCGGCGCCGCGGTTCAAGCGCGAAAGTGTTTGGGGCTGCTCCCCGCGACTATGTCGGGGAACAGAGTCAACGCCGTCATGCGAAGATCAGCTGGGACATGCCCTGCGACGATGAGCACCGCCCAGACACCCCGAGGGCCCACGGCGACAGGGGGCCCGGCCGGCACGAGCGCGGCAAGCAGACGCCGTTACCGATCGGTGGCCAAACGCACGTCGCCATCGACCTCTCGGATGGCGAGCATGACCTGGGGCCCATCTCATCGGGGGAGCATTTCCCCGCATGTCGACGCCCAGATCGATCGCCTGCGGGGGCGTTGGCCTGCCGCAGGGAGTGGAAGCTGAGGCCTATGGCGTCAGTTCTCCTGTTCCCTTGGCGCCGACGATCCATCCTCCACGCTCGCGCCCCTCGCCGACTGCGAAGAGGCTTCGCCCCCCTCCGACGACTCTCTTGAACTGGTTTTCGAGGAAATCATGGGGCGCCAGCCCGCGGACAGCCCGGCCAGAACCGCCGCCGACCAAGCAGAGGCCCGAGACGGTCAGTCTCTCGATGACATCGCCGCTCATCAAGCGGAAGAGGTCTGATGGCATGCCCGAAAACGGGCCTATGCACGCTGCGGGGGGAAGCCCGGTCGCCATGCGCCCAGGCCTCCCCCGCCCTTTGTCCAGCCCGACTCGTTGCCTTCGACCCCAACGCCCGAACCCCCCGACCCGCGCGCCCGCTCCCCGAAATAGGAGTTCGGAAAGGGGCAAACAGGGCGCCGCGACCGCGATCGGAAGCGTCCGGCCGCCTTCGAACCCGACAAGAAGCGATGTGCAGGACGATGTTCATTCGTACAGGGTGTGCTGCTTGTTGTCGTCGAGTCGGGCGATTTTGTTTTCGCTCGGGCCGGGTTGCTCGGGCATCCCCGAAAAGTTTATGATTCGGGAGGATGCTATTGGTGAGGATGCGTCTTTCGCGGAAGCGGTTCGTGCCATGGGGGCGCCTGGAAGACACGTGCGCTGTGCTCCGCGCGCTCTTCCGGATCGTTGAGCTGGCGTGCGTCGCCTGCGTCGCCATCGTCGTGCGCATGTTGTCGGTATTCTTGTGATCTCTGCCGCGCCTGTTTTCTGTTTCCGTTGTCTGGAAACGCACATTTCGCGCGATGGGTGCGGCCAGCGTGCCCCTCTGCACCGCCGCTGCGCCTCCGCGAGGCATTCGTGGGGATGCGCGAGCTGGACTGCCCAAGCCTGTCGATGAACAGGCGCTGACATCCGCGTAGCGGCTCACCTCTGGCCTGCCCGGGCGGCCTTGAGTCGGCCGCGGCCGTTGCGGGAGCGGCGAGCCCACATTAACCAATCACCTCTGCTCCCGGCCCACCCTTCTCTTATCCCCCTTTCCTCCTTCCGCGCACTTCCGGCCAGCGCGCCTCACCGCGACGCCCCTGCGTCTTCGCGAAGCACTTCGGGGAGGCGCGAGCTGGGCTGCACACCTCTGTCGATGAACCAACGCTGACATCCGCGCGCCAGCTCGCCTCTGCCCTGCTTAGGCGGCCAGGCAAGCCCGCATTCACCGATCACCTCTGTTTCCGCCCCCCCCTCAATTCCCCCCCCCCCTCCCGCGCATTTGCTTATGACGCTTCGCGCGATGGCTGCGGCCAGTGCGCCTCGCTGCGCCGCCAGTGTGCCTCCGCGAGGCATTCTGGGGAGGCGCGAGCTGGGCTGCCCACCCCTCTCGATGAATAGTCATTGGCATCCGCGTGTTCAGGTGGCCGAGAGTAGGTAACGACCGTTGCATGTCAGGCAACCATTACCGAACAACGCGCGAGGTCATTGGTGCAACCGCGATAGAGGATTTATTAATCCAGGGCGCGTCGTAGATCAGATATTCATTAATCCAGGGCGCGCCGCGCACCAGAAAATTTGTTTGTCAGGCGCCCGCCCCAACGTGAAGCAGGAAGCCAGGCAAACATGCAAACGTACACCGATACCGTCCTACCATTACGAGTTTCGTGAGATTTCCTTGCGTACTGCATCGTGGTGCGATGTATGATCTTTGGGCTGACCGAAGGTCTCCGTGTCCGCGAGGGCGGAAATTCGGGCGGCTGTGCCGATCCAGCGTCCCCCAACTGCTCCAGGGCAATAACTGTTGCCGGTGACCGTCACGCCCCCCCATTCCCTCCCATGGGATGGGCGGCCGGGAGAATAGCCAGCCCACGTTGTTGGACATTGTTTGCTTGCCACTTGGCTCAGCAACCCAACCAGTGGCCAGACACCGCTCGCATCAGATCATTCTGCTGCGTGCCCTCCAGATGGGTGACACCAGGAAATTGGGCCCCCTAGCAGGGTCAAGGCGCCCCAGAGCCATATTACTTCAAGTCCTCCCTTATTCGTTCATCCCGCTTGTCGGAGCTTGGGAGACAGGATCTTGAGACCCGGGTGCGAGTATGATCGCGCTTCCCGAGTTTCGTGGTCGTCGACTTTCGAGGTTCGAGAACCAGTGTTTGGTCGGTTTGTTTGCCTGCCCCTTCAGGTCTCGTTCTGGGCCTCGGGAGGTATCCCGGAGCCTTCGGCGGGGGTCTCCGGGGAGCTCGGAGGCTCGCGGGGGCCCCGGGAGGACCTCCGGGGGCCTTTGGAGGCTGGGCCCTCCGCGCTTCGGGCTTCGCCGAAGGCGGGAAGCGCGAAGGCGGGCAGCTTGTCAGTCGAGGTCGCAGCGAGGATAGGTGTCTGCGCAGCGCTCCCGTGCATCGGGAAGGGGGCAGGGCAGCAGGGGAAGGAGAAGGGCGAGGCAGAGCGTGTGGGTTGGATGGGTGGAGCACCCCTGCAGCATCCTCGCACGAGAAGGGGCCAGTGCCGTTACATGCTCGCTCTCCAGGCGCCCATCAGACGGCGCTCTTGCGACCACCGTGCGTGCATTCTCGTGGTTGGGGCAGTCATGCACGGTCAGCGATAGAGGAGATGTTGGCGGCCATTGGCGTGACGATTCCAATGAACAAGATGAAGCTGAAGGAGGCTGCCACTGCCCGAATCGGAATAAGTGCCTTCGAGGAAGGTCTGGCTTCTGATGGTTGTGGTGGTGCGGAGGATGAGGGAGAGCAGTGGAGGATAGATGGGGCGGGGTAGCGAAGGAAAGCAGGGAGGAGATGGGGAGGCAGAGGTCTGCGACCACGTGCGAACACCGCCATGCTGGTCCAATCAATGTTGGCGTATGGGACGTCCCAGCAGGTTTTCATTCGGTTACAAACGCCCTTCAATTTCTGCACCCTTGCCCGTGTGTGTGTGTGTGTCAGGAAGACCAGCAGGTGTAAGGTTCGCGTGGGCGACGAAGCAAAACGGGGTCGACTAAGCCGACAGTCGCACGTAAGTTGCCCGCGTACGGCCGCGCGTAAGCGTTCTTTCTTTTCACGCGGCGTGCCGCGTGGGCGGCCGCGTGAGCCATCGTGCAAGGCCGCTATGGCATCATGCGTAAGGCTCCTGTCGTCGCTCATGTGTTCTTACATGAATGGGGTTGATAAAGATGCTCTTCGACCAGAGTATCCCTTGCTTCTCGCGCCATGTTGGAGCCCCTGTGAGGGGTGCTCTGGAGGTCATCTGGGGCTCCTGGAAAATCCTAAGGATACCTTGAGCCAGGGACGCATTTTCAGCACGATCGAGCTGGGGGCGGAAGAATGGAGATGGACACCATCAGCACATCTTGCCCATTTTGAGAGCAGGACTCGCAGGCGGCAGCGCCGCGGACGTTGTCAATTCGGGGCGAAAGTCGCCTGCCCGACAGCGGCCGCCGTCAGTTCTGAAAAACGGTTGCTGTTTGGTATCGTTCACGTTTGTTTCATTTCCATTTCGGGCGTGTCAGCCGTTGGCAAGATCCGAGGAGGACGAAGATGAGGTCGCCGCTCGGGAGGAGAGTAGCGCCCTCGGTCTGCCAGGACGGCGCCGGGAGGTTATGGAACCGTCCTCCTCCTCCTCCGCCAACCCCCTTCTCCTCATCCTCCTTCTCCTCCTCCCCCTCCTCCTCCTCGTCTTCCTGTCGCGCAAGCTAGGAGACGCTCACCGAAGCTAATGGATGCTACTGCATGTGCAGTCAAGACATCTGGCAACAGTGCAACCACAATGCGACCATCCTCGTCTTCCTCCTCTCAGCCTCCTCTGAGAAGAAGGGGAAGAAGAGAAGAAGGAGCTGGAAAAGCGCCGGGGAAGGGTGGGAAGGAGATGGAGCCAGAGGAGGAAAATAATGGGGAGGAAAGTAATGGGGAGCGGGGGACTTCTATCACCGATCCAGTTTCTCTCGAATCGGAGGCGCTTGCCCTAGAGGCGGCGCGGGCTGCCAACGAACTCGTCTATGGGATAAGCAACCGGCTATCAGTGACTTGGTCTAGGCCCGGCGAAAGAAAAATATGACGGAGAGTGGGGCTCTGGGGCTGTCGAGGGCCCTTACGTCGATCCTCCTGTCAGTCAGGAGGCCACCGAGGACGAGCGCCGTACTGACCTTTGCTCCCCTTGGACTGCTGCAGCTCTTCTTCCTCCCCCGTCCTCTCGCCTTTTCGCTTCCTGTGCCAGATTCATGACACCATGCCGCCGCTGGCTCGCCATGCTGTGCCGGTTCTTGTGCCAGGTTCATGTTGTCGTACAGCAGTTCCGACCGATCATGCCGTCATGCCGTCATGCAGCGGCCCGCAATGCCGTTGTGTTCCGACCGATCGGCCGATGGGAAGGTCGAGGTCGTCGTGGCTTCGCAGCTGGAGCCGCGGGCGGCCCACTTTGCTTGCGGGCGGCGCGCGGAGGCCTGCAAGGGCTTCCTGCGAGACGACCGGTCGCTGGCGTTCTACAACCTTCTCGACGGCAGCGCGCTGGCGCTGAGCGGTCGCCGACCCCCCCCCACCCACCGCCCCGCCTGCGGCTCGGAGATCGAGGAAACGCAGACATGGATCAGGGCGCGTGTATTATCGACGTACCCACACCGTCGACAACTCAGGCAGCACTGGCTTTATGGTTTCGGGGAGATTATTTTCCCCCCGCGCCCACGTGAAAGATCCACGAATATGTAATCCATGTGTCATTCGCATGTCGTTGAGAAAGCAAACGAGGGTGGCACGATGAGGGCAAGATAATTCTCGAGTTGTGACTGCGCATCATTTTATCCGACTTGGCTACAGGACGTGTCGAGAGGCTTCTAGATTCGAGCCTCGGTTGCTACGAACCGGGCAACATATGCAGACATGCATGCACATCTGTCTACAGCAGGTTATGTGACCACACATCCGCAAACATGTGCTGCATGCCATGGCAACGATACGAATCTCAAGTGTGATCAAATAGCTTAGATCGAGGCATCCCGTGAGACCCTTGCTTCGCACGTTTGTTCACCCTTGTACCCTTGTGCGTTTCCCCTCGTTCTTTGACTGGGGACCTTCACGGATCGAACCAGCTCGATGGGTACGGAGTATTGCAGCAATATGTAGTTTATGGTTTTTGTCCAGTTGTGCATGTTGTTTCGCGACGTCGGATCTCAGGACCCGGTAGTTAGCCTTCCTTTCGCACGCTGCCTTGGCTGCGCGTGTCGACGAGAGGCGACCCCAGGGGCATCAGGCTTGCCTCGTGTGTTTGCGATGAGGAAAGGAAAGCACAATACTCGGCACAGGAGGTTCGAAGTGACCTGTGGACACGCGCACTCAGTGCTTACGGCACGGTGAATAGTGCGTGTCTAGTGTCTGTGAATAGATCTAGTTTTATATATATATATATATACACATGTGGACAGCCCCCCTCCACAAAGCTCCCATTATTACCAGCATTCGGTTGTTGCTCCTCCTCGTCGTTTTCTCACACTCTCTCTCTCTCTCTCCCTTTCTCGTTCTCTCGCCTTATCTCTCTCTCTCTCTCTCGCTCTCTTTTTCTCTCTCCTTCGCCCTCTCTCTCTCTCTCTCTTTCCCCCCTCTCGCTTGTCGGCTCCCCAAAGCGCCAGCTCTGTTTCTCAACTCCGAGGGTGGTGTGGCGCGCGATCTGCCAGAACGCCTTGTTGATTGCGAAAGGACGCCATCCTCCACAAAGGAAGACCTCGGCTCGAACGGACCTACCCACAAACATGTCGGCTCATCAGACATTATGCTATCATTTTGAGTTGTGGGATTTATGAGATGAGGAATATGGGAACCTTGTGTTGTCATTTGGATGTTTGGGATTTGGTGGATCTTCCCTCCGACTAAAATTCACCCCAGGAGCCCTCCCAGGATGACCGACCCCCGGAATCAGCAAACATATATGAAAATACCATGTGTCCGATGTCATGGGTGCGGGAACCCTGAGTTGTGATGCTGTTGTTGTGTGGATTTCTGGGATGGGAGGTGAGAAAACCATGTGTTTTCATTTTGATGTTTGCGGATCCTCGGATTTCTGAGGCTCTGAACCGTAGCGCGGCTCCTGGGCGGGATTTTGTGCGGGGGGAATTCCCCAAACATCAAACAATGAAACAAATGGTTTACTCATTTCTCATCTCCGAAATCCCAAACATTACATGAAAACACAGCATGTCCGTACCTATGATACCGAAGGCCCTGCCATTCAACAGGGATTCTGTTTGTGTTTGGGAGAGAGGGGGCGAGAGAGAGAGAGAGCGAGAGAGAGAGGGTTATTGAGAAAGAGAGAGAGAGAGAGAGAGAGAACAAAAAAACAACTATACAACAAAGAGAGACATAGATAACGCAAACCGAGAGAGAGAGAGAGAAGGGGAGAGATCGGACAATATAGGCGGAGTTCTCGGGCCGGCGGGCGAGCGCGCCTCGCCCGAAGCATTTTGGCCGGTGCTGTCGGCAAAAGGAGGCCCTTCGCACCCGCCATGGGAGGGCGGCCAGTGGAAAACGAGAGAGGGGGCCGAGAGGGGCCCTCCACAATCGAGCATAGGGTGGAGCTGTGACCTTGCATCGCAGTAGTACGTACGGGCCCACCAGGTCTGGTGAAGCGAGGATTGCACACGTCTTTGGCGTGGCGATACCCCGCTGGAAGTGGCGGCGTCCATCCAGCACCCCTTCAGGACCCTCAGTGGCAGCGGGCCGTGGGCGCTTGCCAGGCGGCGCACGGGCCTCGATCATAAGCTTAGCAGAGGGCGCCCTTGGCGAGGGGCAGGTGGTCCGAGGCGGACTGGGCGCGCTCGAGTGGTCGCGCGAGTTGCGCGACTTCGACGGCGTCGACAGGCTGAGCGCCGCGGAGGAAGGGCGCTGCTTGAGGCAGGCCTTCCCCCCAGGGAGGGGCGGCCTGAAGCGGCTTTGCGCTGCCGATGTTGACTGTCGTGGGGCCGGGGCTCATCGGCGGGGCGCTGCGCCAGGAGAAGGCCGAGCCGTCGCCGACGCGCCGTGGGTGGGGCGCTGAGCGGGGCCCCCCCTTGCGGGCGCAGGCGGGGCCTCCAAGGGCGCCGCCTGGCTCGTCGAGCGCGGCGCGCTCCCGTGCGCTCGCAAGGGGGCCGCGTCCGGGCCTCTCCGCGGGAAGGGGGCCCGACGGAAGAGGGCCGCGTTTGAGGCGGCCCGCTCCGGCCGCGAGGGGGCGCGCAGCGCGGCCCCGCAATGCCTGGGCCACTGGGCGCGGGGCGATGGTGATCCGAGCGGGGGTCGGCGGCCCCGCGAGGGCGGGCCGGGCCGCGGTCGCCCTCGGGCCCCTGGGCCGAGGCCGCCTGCGGAGGGAGGCCGCGTCGGCCGTCCGAGCTGTCGAGGGAGCAGCTCGGGGCGGCGCGGCTGGGGCTGCGCCTCGGCAGCCGTGGCGCTGACCTGTCGGAGTGCTCGGATGGCCGCCGCTACCTGGTCGGCGGTGCGCGGGGTGGTGGTCCGCGTGCCAGCGTTAGCGGGGCTCTCGCTGGCGCCGCGGTGGCCCTCGTCGAATTGGCGCATGGGGCACGCGGTGCCATGTTTCGAGCGGCTGCTGCCTGTCGCGAGGCCGGGGATCGTCAGCAAGGCGCTGCGGTCAGAAGAAGGCTGAGCCGTCTCCGACGCGCTGCGGGCGGAGCGCGGCGTCGCCGATAGGCCAGCGCTGCGGCTCGAGGTGGAGCCTGTTTTCATCCGCGTTGGCGTCGCCGAAGCATCTCTGATGTCGCCGATGCAACGTCGATGCATCGCCGACGGGTCGTCGAGGCATCGCCAATGCGTCGCGAGCCTCAGTCCGCGGGCGCTGGTGGGGCCGCCGCAGGTCCTGCCGGGCACGTCGGGCGCGGTCTGTTCACGGCCGCTTGCGGCTGGCACGGCGGGGCAGGGGTCCCGGGGCTTGGCGGAAAAGGACCGTGCCAGAGGCAGGTCGTTCCCGCCGCGAGGGGTCGCCCTGCGCGGTCTCTCGCCGCTCGGGCAACTGAAAATTCGAGTTTTAAAGGTGATGAGAGTGGGGATCCGAAGGCCCACCGAGGCTGACGGGGTCGCGGTCTCCCTCGGGCCCGTGGGCCGGGGCCGCCCGCGGTGGGAGGCGACGTCGGCCGCGGGCAGCGCCGCGCGCACGTCCGAGCTGGCGCGAGGGGAGCGCGGAGCGGTGTGGTCGGGGCTGTAGGTCGGCAGCCGTGGCGCTGACATGCGCAAGCGCTCGAGTGGCCGCTCCTGTCTGGTCGGCGGTGCGCAAGGGGGTGGCCTGTGAGCCAGTGTTAGCAGGGCTCGCGCTGGCACCGAGGTAGCCGCCGTCCAGCTGTTGCTGGTTGTTGGCACATGGTTCCGTGCTCAGAGCGGTTGCTCAGAATCGTTTTGCTCGCCCCTGCGCTGCTGGCGCTGCCTGTCGCGAGACCGGGCGTCGTCGGCAGGGCACTGCGGCCAGGAGACGGCTGAGCCGTCGCCGACGCGTCGCGGGTGGAGCGCTGCATCGACGATGCGTCCGCGACGCGACTCGATGTGGAACTCGTTTGCATCGCGATGCGGCGCGAGGGGGGCGCCGCCGATGCATCGCTGATGTCGCCGATACTTCGTCGAAGCATCACCGACGCATCGTCGATGCCGCGCCGATGCTTCGAGAACCTCCGACCGCGGGCGCAGGCGGGGCCTCCGCAGGCGCTGCCTGGCGCGTCGAGCGCGGCCCCTTCATGGCAGGTCGCGGCCGGCGCGGCGGGGCTGAGGTCCCGGGCCCCGCGGTCGCTCCGTCGCCTGGGCTGCGCGGCGTAGAGGGCCAGCGGCCGCGGGAGCAGGAGCATTGTCCTCGGGGGCGATGCGGCAGGCCTCCGTGGCGGCGGGAAGCTAATGCCGAGGGCTGGTCCGCGGCGCTCGCAGGCGCGGAGCCTCGGAGCTCGCAGCGGGCGCGGCTGGCGCCGACGGTCGTCGGGCCTCTGCGGCAGAGAGGGCGCCCCTTCACCACTCGCGTGGGCGGGGGGGGCTGGGGCCCCAGCGGCGCGGGTGGCGCGGTCCGGGGCCAGCGGCGCCAGGTCGGTGGCGACGGCAGTCGGGGCTTCGTCGTCTGCAGGGCGCCGGGCAAGGGCGTCACCGCGCGGGGGCATGGCGGAAAGGACCGCGCCTGAGGCGGGCCACTCCCGCCGCAAGGGGTCGCCTGATGCATCTCATCACCAAGTGTTTTATTGGGCGCAGGTGCCGGCTCCGCGCCCGCCGTCGCCGTCGGCGGCCGGCGCGTTGGGGGCCGTGTGAAATTCTTGCAAATGGTTCAAACGAATGCGCGCGGCGCCAAGGCGATAGCCACATATTGAAAACGACCCGCCTTCAATCCGTGAGTTGTTGTTATTTTTACAACGAGTGATCGTGGCGCCAAGGCGAGAGCCACATTTTGAAAACCACCCGCCCTCAATCCGTGAAGTTATTGCCACTGTTTAAATCCGATGCGCGCGGCGCCAACGCGAGTTGTGAGCACCTGGGGGCTTGAGGCGGTCGCGGATCTTGCGGCGGGGTGTCATCCTGGAG